CATTTTACTTTCAATAATATAATAATTAAAATTATTCTATGATTGGGACATTATTCTGTCTGTATTATTTTTATTATCTTTTCATTTAGAGTTTAAAAATAGGTACTAGCAAAGGGATTTGTACAAATATTTTGATCTATTATGTTTAATAGAATATTGTAATCGACTAAGGAAAAAATTAAATTTCTTCCTTACATAATACATAGGAACTACTTATTTCCATATTGTTTTGCTATTTATTACCAAACAAATACAATTACAGCTATACACCAAACAAAGTTTTCTGCGATTTTTTCTCATGGGCCAACTAGTTTTTACGTATAAAATGATTTCTATTATTTGTATGCGCTTGGTGGGTTATTGTATCGATAAATTTGATCGAAAATAACAACTACGTACCTTCAGGTAAAAACCGACCGAAAGTTTACTTTGTGAATTTTTACATTAAACCGACGATATAAAAGAATGTTGAAAGTATTTTTTTTTTCTCGATTTATAAGGCTCATTGGCAAGAATCTGAATATTTTTCGATCTTGTTTAACTGAAAAAAAAAATCATTAAAATCGGTCTTTCAAATTCAAATTCTAATTGGAATTTCATGTGATTATTATTAGATCCTTACCGTCAGTAAATGAGGTGGAATTATGTGATTAAATTTGCCTCCTGGAAAGGAAAGTGAGAGGGGTGTTCCTTACAATAATTAAGACTGCTAGGAGTAGCCATTAAGCTATCTGCAAGTCCAACTCCTTAAATAAATCCCAAAGGAATTAACCCAGCTCCCCCTTTCGGCTCAACGCTTAATCGTATTTGCATCCTTCGCTTTTAGATTTTCTCGTTTTAATCACATCCCTGATTAATATTATCAGCTCAATAGAAAAAAAAAATGGTATGCGTATCACACAACTTTCATTTCTACTTTGGGTAGAAATTATTTTCTGCCCAAATCGGGAAATTGCAATTATTATTATTAATAATAATATTGTACCATATTGTGGGTTCATGGTTGACTGTAGTGAATAATTGAAGAGAATCATGATTGGAGTGATCAGTCAAAATGAAAAATGGCAAAAATAAATAATAATATTTATTTTTACCCGAAGTTCAGCCCTTCGTCAAGGATGATCTTGATGATAATGAAAGTCTTCAGTGGATCACAAAGCTCCATTTTTGTGAAAAAGGAGTTGAAACAGCCTCTAAAAACTATCATGAAGATATTTTGGAACCTATTGTCAAAACTCTAAATGATACTCTGTTTGCTGGAAGTCATTGGGTTTTGAAGCAGGATTCCGTTCCAGCTCAGAAGACCATGTCTACACATGGTCTACACAGCAGTGGCTGTAAAAGAACATTTCATAGTTCATCTTTGCCTCACATTGGCCCTCAGGAAGCCCTGATCTCAACCCACTAGATTATCGGCTTTGGTCCGAACTGGAGAGGATGGCATGCTACAGAGCACACCCTAACTTGGAAAGCCTCAAACAATCTCTGGTCCGAGCAGTTGAGCGCTTTCCTCAAGAAGTGCTGCGTGCTGCTATTGATGATGGGCCACGGAGATTAAATGCCTGTGTCAAGGCAAAAGAAGGACATTTAAGTAATTTTTTTTTTTTTTTTTGTTTTATTCTCTATAGATGAACATTTTATTTTTTAATAAAGTTTTGGGAAAAAATATGTTTTCTGTTGAAATCTGTTTTATATTTCCTTTATATATATTTATATTTCCTTGTAACAATATTTATGACATGACCAGGTGTATAAAAAAAGTAATTTAGTCTTTTGTATAGCTATGATAGTTGTCTCTCCAAGCCTTTTCTTCGATCAGCCCTGATGAAGGCCTGAACTTTGGGCCGAAACTTCGGTAAATGTAAAAATAAATATTATTATTTATTTTTGCCATTTTTTATTTTGACTGATCACCCCACCCATCCTTCTCTTCTATTATATTATTAAATTATTGAAAATCATTTTTGATGGTCGTTGTTGTTGGTTTGGGCTTTAAGGCGTAAAACTCTAAAGTCATCAACGGCTGTGAATTAGTTATTTTGGTTGTACGTTGCGTTCAGAAACTCCTTAGAAGAGAGAAAAAAAAATAATCAAAAATTAATAATAAATAAATAGAATAATATATGAAAGATATTTAAGAACACATGAAAAATATAATAAATAAAAAATACAATAAAAATAAAAATGATATTTATTTATATATTTTATTTAATAATCTACGGATTTTAAGAAATGTTATAACTGGGGTATTCCTGAAAAATATAACTGACAGATGGCTATTGCAGTGTTGACATTGGCTCTTTAATAATGAGATATAAATGAGTTAGATTCGTGTGTCCTATTCTTAATCTAGTCTCGGTGAACTCCTCTCTGCGATTAGTACGTTTATTTTTGATGGTCATTAAAGAACATAACAAAAACGTTATTGCCATCAAATAACACTGAATGTATTTAGTGTATCGGCGCAGAGTGGCTTTCTGAACAATTACTGGACAAAAATAAATACCGAGAGATTAATCTTTTTCTGTTTTTTTTTTTTTTTTTTTTTTTGTTGGACAGATTTTTCTCTGTCCAACAAGGCTTAGAAATTTCCTCAATTCGACCAGTGTTAGCAGGAGTACCTCAAGGATCAATACTGGCTCCTTTATTCTACATCATGGGTATATATGACATACCTATCCACTCCGAAACATTGACCGCCACCGACGATGATGATACAACAATTTTAACAAAAGACAATAATCCCAGACAAGCCTCACTGAATTTACAAACTCATTTACTGACTTTACGAAATTGGTAGTCACTTTGGAAAATATGAATTAATCATGAAAAGTCACAACATATAACATTTACACTTCGACGAAAAACGTGCCCACCAGTTTATATAGGAGAGAACCAAATTCCTCAGACAAACACAGTACGTTACCTGGGACTAATATTCGACAGGAGGATGACCTGGGGCCCACACGTCAAAATGAAACGACAGACCTTGAACAAGCGACTGAAAATAATGTACTCACTTTTTTCTAAATCGAAATTGAAAGTTCGACAAAAACTAAATACATAAACTTACCTACTCAAATCCATCTGGACATACGCCTCTCAGATTTACGGTTCGACAAAAAAGACGCACTTACAAAACTACAGTCATTTCAATCATAAATTTTACGACTTATAACAGGAGCTCCCTGGTACGTCAACAACAAAACTTTACATAACGACTTACGACAACTAACTACAGACCAACATATACGTACTCTGTACTCTCGTTTTCATCTCAAACTAAACGGACACACAAATAGACTTATAAAAGACATGGCTACGACTGACATGCCCGTCAGAAGGAGACTAAAAAGGAGCTGGATGAAAGATCTCCTCACCTAAATCAAAGTAATGACCAGGAAGAGGTGCTGCTGGGTACTATCCTTCCTCATGCCTGTAATGCCAATCCTCATTATGACAACAACACATCTACTGGTTGTCAATACGATGACAGGTGCGGATAACCAGTTAAAGAAAAACAACAAAAACTTTTATCAGCAATTATAAATATTTTTTTTCCCATCCCACAGTTGATATGTTGAATGAATGAATGAAAACGTATTTATTAAATATAAAATATATATATATATATATATATATATATATATATATATATAAATATATACACAAGCAACATCACATAGACAATGGAAAATTCCGTCTGTCGAGGTCTGTGTGTAATTAATAATAAATATTCATCACATTTATAACTAACATAAATCAGCAATAATATATCTACTATTATGGTTTTTACAACCATTCTAGCAATTTTCTTTTTCACTGTCTCATCTGTTTAAATAGAGTTTTTAAAAAAACAAAAACATTAATATATCACAAAACCAATAAATAAGAAATTTAAATTCAACAATAATAATAATCATCAAATACAATATAACAATAAAACAAACATTACAATAAATAAACACGATATTGTATCAATAGTTTACTATCTGACTAATTGGGATCATTGCAACGTGGCCTGCTGTACATAATTGCTTAAGGCTTTCCAGTTAGAACCCTTTAAGAAACCAAATGATTCTTCTGGAGAACAGGTCCGCTGCCCAAAACATTTCTCTCTTAACTCACTGTACATGTGGCAAGTCCCCAAAAAGTGAATGATATCCTCTTTTTCTTGAGAGTTACATACCGGACAGCAAACGTTGTCCCCCGCCATCCATGGTTTTACGCTTAAATCGAGCAACTCTGTCCTACATCGAAAAATTGACTCTATAGTCACAATATCAAAACTATCATTAAGAAAGGGTGTAACAGTGCCCACTGAACATAGTCCTGCGTAAACATAAAAACTTGAATGAAGACATTTTTCTAGATTAATTGGTTTTTTTATAAGTCCTCTACCCTATGTCTAACAACAGTCAATGTCCCGCTCAGTCCCGCGATATTTGCAATATCAAGATTAGTTTCAGTTAATATGGTAAGATAAAAGGTATGATTAGATTTAACATTTAAATTGATAATTGTTCTGAAGACACTTCACTATAAGTATTTTGGCTATAGTGTTTCTTTTTTTTTTTCTTCTCTAATTTCGACAGTCATATCTGTTTTTTTTTGTATTGTTTTTTTTATTATTATTTTATTGAGTTTTAATACAGTCTGCCACACTGAAGGACATTGGTACTAGGGCTATAGTATTCATTCATACAATATGTACATAAGAAAGGAACATAAATAAAAAATAACTAAGAAGAAAAAGAATAATAAATCTTTATTTTAAAACTATTTTTTGAAAGTAAGAGGGAAACTGTGTTGCAACTGCTACTGATGTCAAACAGTTTTGCCCATCACCAAATCCAACACTCCTCCACATTATTATAGCAGGTTAGGTTTTGGTTATGAAACAGTATTACATTTTTTAATTTTTATTTACATGGAAACTTACACAATTGATTTATTTTTTTTCTCAAAAAAAAAAAAAAACTGATAAATTTATTTAACAGCCTCATTTATGCTTGTGATCGTGATGGTGAGCGTGATGGCCTCCACTGTGGGTTGACGAATTGTGCCTGCGTTCGTCACTGGCACTGTGACTGTGACTTTCGTGACTCTCGACTGAGTGGCTCTCCGAAGTGTGATGGCTGGCCAAGGAGAAGCTCACCATGAACAGAGCGCAGAAGAGGACAGCCCACTGGAAATAATTATACGTTATTATAATATGATACCAAATGCTTTATTATAACTATTTCGTATAACAGTATATCGACCAGTGAATGCAACCTTTTATTGCGAATAATTAGTTCACATGCACGCTACATATCACCGTCACATGTGCGCGATCAACCATTGTTTCTTTGTTTATTTAGGCTTTAGGGCGTAAAACGCAAGGTTCATCAACGCTTGTGAGTCGGTTATGTTTGTAAACCCTTTAGAAGAGAATTAATAATTATTAATATATAGAGTAATAAATGAAAAAGATATTTAAAAACATATAAACACGCTGCCAATTATGTCACAATGGTATATTATTTCGAAACAATTATACATCTAAAGTAACATTACCTTCTGAGTTACAAAGAAAAATAAACAAAAGGTGATTTCAATTATTGGACTAAACTTTTTTTTTAATCATTAGTAATATTCTAAAAAAAAAAAAAACATCAGCTCAGTAGCACATTCAAATTTTAAAAACCAAACCAAGGATAAAATATTTGGAGTGGAACATATCTAAAAAACCGGAGACCATATCTTTGCTCCTAATTGTCCGATTTTAAAGGTTTTTGTTTTTTGTTTTTTTAGGAAATTTCGTAAACTTTTAAAAAACTATACAATATCAACAAAAAAGTAAAAACTTTTCGAGTTATTCGGCATTTAATTTTACCATCCCTCATGACTTTTTCTCAGCTTCTTTTCTTTGAGGTATGTTATGTAGATAAATTTAAAGGGCGTCGAGAAAACGACTTTAGCGAAGTTTCATTGAAATCTGTACATTCGCTTAGGAGCTACAGTCAATAGCAAAGAAGGTTTTGCGGCCGCCATTTTGAAAGTAAAAGGCGGATAGTAATGTTGATGAAAAAGGATCATCCTCGGGTGACCTCTGATTTTATATCCAAATTTGAAAAAAATTGGTCCAGTAGTTTTGTAGAAAATGCGCGTACGGCGGACGGACAAAAAATTTTTTATTCTTTTTTCGAATTCTACGCATCCTGAAACATGATCCTCAAATTTTGAGAAGAGGTTATGTTTTTGAATTTTTTAGTCGATCATAATGGTTGATTATTGAAAATAATAAACCAAAATGAAATATATTAAAATAAATATGAAAAAAGACAGAACAGTAAAATAACAATTATATTTATTTTTATATTTTATTTAATAGCCTATGTATTTTAAGAATTTCTATCAATGTTTCTATCAATGTTTTGATGTTTGGATCGTTGTTGCTTAATACTACTGATATATCCGGTTTTAGAGATAATCGATTTAGGCTTGAAGTATAATAAGTGCATTCTTGGAAAATATAATTGACTGTGAGAGGGCTATTACAATGTTGACAATTTGGTGGTGGCTGCTTAGTGATGAGATGTACATGAGTTAGGTTCGTGTGTCCTATTCTTAACCTGTTTTAATTTTCTAGGTGGGCTTTCGTTCCATATAGATTGCCAAGTATCCAATATTTCCTATTTGAGAGGAAAATTCATTTCTGGAGGGGTCAGGACCAAGTTTATTAAATTCACTTATTACAGTTGTAAAAATAAATAGTTTTATTATACAGGAATGAAAAGTCATTTATTTATATTTAGTTGTCCTATAAGCCTCATAATTGAACAATAACAAACCAAATGAGTCAATTCATTCAAAGTGTGTTTACTAAGTCCCACATTACATATATATATATATATATATATATATATATATATATATATATATATATATATATATATATATATATATATATATATATATATACATTTATTCTAATTATTTCTTGCCACTCAGTGTCACAAAAGTATTAGGTTCCCGAATTCCCAACAACAGTTAAACATCCTCAAAAAGTCTATATCCAGTGCCGGGGTTTTGTTTTAAGAAAATTAAATCACGAGTGTATAGAACCTAGTCCCCCGATTAAACGGAAGGAATATTCACAATTGCTCGCCAAAAAAGAATATTTACAATTAAACTCTTAATATATTTGATTGCCTCACCAGAATTTTCCATCCTCTTTCTATTAAACTTTCGTTTAATTATCCATAATATTAATTATCTCTCGTCGTTATTTATTACACTTACGGTACTTTAGTTCAAACTTCGTGAGATAACCGTTAGAGATGACGCCACTATACATCTCTTCTCTCCCCTCTCCCTGGCTACCATACTCATTTCTCCGTTAACACTTTTTGGAGACAGGTTTGTTTTCTTTTTTCTCTTTCTTATTTCAGCCTTCTCAGTTTCTTTCCTCCTTCCTTTCATTCCTTTTCTCTGTTTTAACTCTTTATTATATTTTACGTTGTCTGTACATTTTTATATACTTTACAATATCTCAATTTTCTATCTAACTATTAGCAATATCTTAATTTTACTATTTATTTTCATTTCTTATATAACTTCATATTCCTCTTTTCTGTTTTACATTTTATTCTAAGATTCCCATTTTAATACTAATGTCATCTTTTTTGATTATGTTTACTTTATCATTCCCACACTTTGTAACGGTTATTATTATTTCTTCTTAGTTCTTACTACTGTCATTATTCTAACAACTACATTTTACTTTAATTTGTTTTTACCTACACTACTTATGTTTCTCATACCTTGTTATCTGGTTCTTTTCTTAGCCCTGATGAAGGCCTGAACTTCAGGTCGAAACGTGGCAAATGTCAAAATAAATATTATCATTAATTTTTCCTTCTTATTTGACTGATCACTCCTACTATTCTTCTCTTCATTATTCACGACAGTCAACCATTCACCCACAATTATTAACTCTTAATATATAATTTACAAGATGGTATAGTAGATAAACATGTTTTAATAGAAATTTTAAGAAGAAACTTAAAAGGAATTGAGGAAAATCTGGATATAAAAAAAATTTTAGTTTTTATCAATAAAATGAACCCAAACACTCTACCATGTTAGTGAAGGATGGTTACTTTATAATCAACCCAAAGTTATAAAACCTCCAGCACAGGCACCAGATGCTTATGTGATAGAACACCTTTGGACAAAATTGCAGATATAAACACGAAATTTGTAGAAAAGAAGAATTAAAAAAAGATCTTCTCGAAGAATAGAACTAAGCCCAGAATCTACCAAAAAAATAGTCGTCCATTTAAAACAGACTTAAAGAAGTGTTGAAAAATAATGGCTTGTTTATAACGTATTAAGCTAAATTAAAAATTAATAAAAAGTGAGGTGTATCCTTTTAATCGTCAGGTAAAATTACCCATTTTCCTGGTTATTGGTTTATTATTTTCAATAATCAACCATTATGATCGATCAAAAAATTCAAAATCCTAACCCCCTCTTAAAATTTGAGGTTTCACGTTTCAGAATGCATAGAATTCGAAAAACGAATAAAAAAAATTTTGTCCGTCCGCCGTCCGCGCATTTTTTCCGAAACTACTGGACCGATTTTTTTTCAAATTTGGATATAAAATCAGAGGTCACCTGAGGATGATCCTCCTTCATTGACATTACTATTCGCCTTTTTTTTCAAAATGGCGGTCGAAAAATCTGCGCTACTATATATTGTAGCTCCTAAACGAATGTACAGATTTCAATGAAACTTCGCTAAAGTCATTTTCTCGGCGCCTTTTAAATTTATCTATATAACATACTTCAACGAAAAGAAGCTCGAAAAAAGTTACAAGGGATGGTAAAATTAAATTCCGAATAACTCAAAAACTTCACACTTTTTTGTCAATATTGTATATTGTTTGTTTAAAGTTAACGGAATTTCCTAAAAAAAAAAAAAAAAATCGCTAAAATAAGACAATTAGGAGCAGAGATATGGTTTTCAGTTCTTTTTTATATGTTCTACTCCAAATGTTATATCCTTTGTTTGATTTTTAAATTTTGAATGTGTTACTGATCTTATGCTATTTTTTTTTTCCAATTTCTTATGCTATGTTCAGTCCAATAATTGGAATATCCTTTTATTTCTTTTTCTTTGTCACTAGGAAGGTAATGTTACTTAAGATGTATAATTGTTTGAAAATAATAAACTATTGTGAAATAATTTGCAGCGTTTTTTTTTTATATAATAACAGTTAATACTTTAATTTTATTGAGTTTTTACAGATTTAAATTGAGATTATAAATAAATCTGTTGCAGGGTTTCAGGTTTTATTGGTTTACTGTAATCTGTAATCAAGTATTTTTTTTCTATGGAGAATAAAGTTCACTCGGAGCTTCATTACATTATAAATAATCTTTAATAATGAAAAATCATAGAAATATCTTTAACAAATATTAAAAAAATATTTGAACCCGTCTTGTTCGTCAGCTCGGTTCCACTTCAACATTTTATTCATACTTTAAAAATATGCCAAATATAAATTTGATAAAGTTGAGCTTTCATGAGTAATATAACCCGAAAATAAGTGTAAAAAAAGAGAAAATATGCAGTAAAAATATTTTATATGACAAAACTGTTATCGATTTCGATATTGTTTTTTACTTTTTGTAAGGAATTTAGTAAACTTTCAAATACTCATATGTATAATGGGCCAAAAATTGCTTCCTTTTCGAGTTATTCTTTCTAATTTTTCCTATCTTCATTTTACTATATTATAGGAAAATCTTCGTTTGGCCAGCTTCTTTTGAGTCCTCTAGGCGTGTTTTCGGGCTTGTTTTCGTTGACCATTGGCATGTGAAGGTCTCTATGTAAAGTAATGTTGATGATAAAAATCCGCGGACTCTACGTGATATTCCCTTTCTATTGATACATCATTCATCAAAATCAATCACTCCTGAGAGCCGGAAAAGGGATATATATTTGATAAATAATATATAAGACTAGTTGGCGCATAAAATTTTGCTTAGTGAAGAAATAGAAAAACAATATGGAAATAACTAGTTCCTATTTATTATGTAAGGAAGGAATTAATATTTTTTCCGTGGTCGATTACAATTTTACATTTAACATAATAGACCAAAATATTTGT